ACATATTTTCAAAAAAGGGGGTCCTATGTTCTCTACCTTCTGGAGTGAAGGTTGTTTCCATGGTAAAGAAGACTGTGCTGTCCTGTTGATTCTATGCAGCACAGGGGGAATTTTTGCCTATGGCCTGGTAGCCCCCAATGCCTCCAGTGCTGAAGCCGTCCTTTGAAGAGGATTTATTCAGAAGCTATACATTTATTGCTTTACTACAGTCACTATAGCTAATAATTTGAAATTTTTCACTTGGTATTTGGTATAATCATATGGGGGATTTGGAGATAAAGAAAAAAATACATTAAAATTATCATTTTTTGTCATCCTTGCATTTTTACATTAGAGTAATCATCAGACAAGTGAAATCATGATTTGGGCCAACACAATTCCTCTGGAAAAGGGCAAAAATATATACCCTAGATCAGGGGTCGGCAAACTGCGGCTCGCGAGCCACATGTGGCTCTTTGGCCCCTTCAAAGAGCTGCATGTGGCTCGCGAGCCGCAGTTTGCCGACCACTGCCCTAGAATAACATGGTCAAGGAGTAGTTATTTACAAGTCAAACCAGGATACATAAGATAGCATTATAAGGGCAAACCATGTATAGTTTAAAAATTCCAAGTCCTAACAAATAATTGATTTGTGTAATTTCACATGACATTTAATATTGCAAGGATGAAAGGTAACCAAGAATGTGGACCAACCCTTAGTATTCCTTGTTAGGGGATGGTCATATGTGCTGTATAAGGATGTATATACTTAGGAATTATTGATATGGATTCAAGAATGGTTGATCCTCTTTTCTTCTTTCTCTCTAGGTTTGGAAATATCCTGGGATGGAGACAGTTTTGTAGAAGTCATGGCTGCCCCTCATCTCAAGGGCAAACTTTGTGGTCTCTGTGGCAACTACAATGGACATAAACGTGATGACTTAATTGGTGGAGATGGAAACTTCAAGTTTGATGTGGATGACTTTGCTGAGTCCTGGAGGGTGGAGTCCAATGAGTTCTGCAACAGACCCCGCAGAAAGCCAGTGCCTGAACTGTGTCAAGGGACCGTGAAGGTAAAGCTCCGAGCCCATCGAGAATGCCAGAAACTCAAGTCTTGGGAGTTTCAGACCTGCCACTCAACAGTGGACTATGCTACTTTCTACCGGTAAGTGCAGTGCTCTGGGGGATGGGATTGGGTTACAGACCAAGGATAGACTTGACCTTGATGCGGAGTGTGTCAAATCTCTTGGTGTACAGAAAAGGGTTCCCAAAGTACAGAGCAAACACTCCTACGTCTTTCTGTTCAGCAGCTGATTTCATCTTGAGTCAGTCCCCCATTATATCCCAAATTAGGAAATTTCAGGGAGTATTTCAGAGTAATACCCTATAGCTTATTCTGTTTTTGAGTGTCTACAGAGTCATCGGAAAGCTGGTGACACCCAAGATTTTACCAGGTGTTTGCTTTACTCGAAGATCAATGAGTACTTCCCAAGTTCTGGTCTAAGCCACAGTGGTATAGGGCAGAGGTGGGAATCTCAAATCCCTCTGGCTGCCTGTGGGGGTTTGAATGAACTTGGTTATTCTAAGTCTGAGGAAGAGTTCAGGTCTGCCTAGTCGTCTAGACCAAAACAGATTTGCATGTGGAAAACAGGGCAGTGAAGTGATGACTCCTTGGATCTTGGCCAACTAGGTGTCCAGAGTCAGGGAGAGTGGAATCAGAACTTGAGGGTGAAGGAAGGAAGGAAGGAAGGAAGGCCTCTCTTCGACAGTGTGTTTCCTGGTTTGACTTGTAAATAACTACTCATTGACCTTTTCTAACTCTTATTAATCCCCTTCCACACGAAACCACCAGTTACACAGGAGGCTTGCATTTCACTTCCGTGTGACAAGTTGCATTTGTGAGCTGATGAGTTTGGCCTGATTGTACTTCTGCTTACTACACAATTCCATGGGCTCAAGAGCTATGACTGCCTGTAACTTTAATCACCATGGGTGTGGGAGGAAACGCGAGAGCAACTCAGCCTAAAAGGCCTTAAGTGATTTGCCTGTGCCTCTTAAAATGAGCAAACGCCTGTGGTCTGAAGCCACAGAGAAGTTATTTTTACTCTTTAATTGCCACCAGTTTATTTCCCCTACTTCTCATTAAATGTGATCTTTTTTATTTGATCTTCGGACATAAAAGATAAAGTTATATAAAGGCAGCTCAAAGAGGGGTGGAAAAAGGACTGTCCCTGTCATCACAAATCCCTGAACATGGCTGCATCTGCCAAACCATTTGGCTGCAACACATACGTTTAGCTCTTTCAATCCATTTTCCTGTTACAATTTGAATCCTCTGGATTCCCCTTCTCCCCTACATTGAGCCCACCTCCTGCCTAATGAAATGGAAAGATCTTAATGTTAGACTTTGGAGTGAGGTAAGCAGCTAGACAGGCAACCTGGGTTTTATTTGGAATCTAATGCCCATCACTTGAAGGTCTGATGGGAAGCAGTAGAGCATAGCAATTAGGAACTGTGCGGTCTCCCAGGGCGAAAAGTCTAGCCCAGCTCTACAACTTTGAGCAGTCATCTAAGCTCTTAGACTAAATTCTTCTTATCTGTAAGCTGGGGATAATAAAAGAAGTTACCTTGAAGAGTTGTCATTCAGGTTCAATGAGATTATGAACATAAATGCATATGCACAGCCCAGTGCCCCCACATAGTACATGCTCCATAGTTGTTGGCTGCTGTCATTTCCTCTGTTAATTAAATGATTGACAAGTGTAAGTCCTCTTTTGGAAGCTCCCCACCTGAGGAATAGAATTTGATTGGGTCCTTGTCTCTCTAAAATAAATGAAAGGCTATGCTTCTCCTGGGACCCAGCAGTCTACACTTTTGGTCTTCATCCCATGTCCAAAGAATGTGTTGAAAACAAAAATTGGAGAGCAGGCCTGCAGAGATTAGTCCCCCCCCCCTTTTTTTTTTCAATTCTATTTTTTCCCCTTTGGTGATTTATTTTGTATTATGATCCCTGGACTGCAAACAGGAATATGATGAACACCTTGGCAGAAGCTGTGAGAAACAACTTTGACATGAACAGAGACCATTGGAATGCTAGGTGGCCAGGCAGATGCTCGCCTTCTGTCTCTAAACGCTGCCGTAGCGGCCACAGCAGCACAGTGGGGCCACTGGGTTGTGTAAGGGGCCTGGTGCATGAAGTTTGGATGCTCATGAGAACTCTCCGGGGATAATTGTGCACGGAGGTTGGAGGTAGGGTGTGTGGGAGATGGGCTCGTGCTCGGCATGCATGGTGTGGTGGCAGAGCACCCTTCCACAGTCAGCCACCTCTTCCTGGAAGAGGCAGGAATGTGTCAAAACCCATTCTCAAGAGGGGAGAGCTGAGACCCTGCCTGTCACTCACCCTGCTGGGCATCTCACTCCTCAACCCAGAGATGCGTCTTCATGTGTTTTCAAGTGAGGGGAGAACCTTAGTTTCTTCTCTTCTGCCAAGCACACATGTGGCAAAAGAAAGGAAATAAACTTGGACAATGTGGGAAGGCAGTTTTGTTCTCAGGGGATCTCCCGGGAGGACCAAAGCTTAGGGAGGCATGGACAGAGAGCACCTTGGGTGGTGCCAAGCTGAACCTCATCTCAACTCTGCCACCGTCTAGCCGTGTGGCCCTGGCAGCTAGCTGAGTTTCAGATTCTTTTAATATTTTTATTGATTTCAGAGAGGAAGGGAGAGGGAGAGAGAGATAGAAACATCAATGATGAAAAAGAATCATTGATAGGCTGCCTCCTGCACACCCCCTACTGTGGATCAAGCCCACAACCCACATGTGCCCTTGACTGGAATCGAACCCAGAAACCTTCAGTCCACCGGCCAACGCTCTATCTATTGAGCCAAACCAGGTGGGGCTGAGTTTCAGATTCTTTACCTATAGAGTAGGTGTGACAGTAACTACCCGGTGGGTGAGATTGCTCCTCCGAGGACTGGGGTCAGTGGGCAGTGCCGTGTTGTCACATGATAGATAGAAAGAGTTTTGTTGTCTTGTGTCCCCTCTTCTCTATGGAGAATCTGGCCCCTGGCTCAGCCACTTATCTTTCTGATTTTTGATCATTTCTCCTCTCTTGTTGTGGAGAACTGATTAGATGGATTCTCACTGATGAGTTTGTGGAACAGTTTTAAAATGAACCATATGTCTTCCGTGACACTGACTGTGATAGTGTAAGAGAAGGCTGCATTGCAGTTCTTTAAAGATTTTTTGTTGTTTTTGTTTCATAAGAAGAATAGCAGGTGTTCACTGTACAACAGTGAAGTCATGTTGGAAAGAATAAAGAAGAAAATAGCAACCCCATGATATTCCACACCTGGACGCTTTTGCCTGTGTGTTTTATGTCGCTGGTGCAATTGCTGGAACGAACCTGAAAGCACAGTCATGACCGTGGCTGTGAGCTTTTTTATGGGTCGTCACAAAACCAAACAGGTTGCCTTGATATCACGGGTGGGCATACACATCAACTGAATACAAACTTCTTTCCTTCAATTTTCCCCTCAGCCTCCAAAGAAATATCTGTACTTTCCTTTAAGGACAAAGAACAAAATCTCATAACGTACAGAGTCAACCTTACAAACTATGCTTGTAACATCAAGAAGGGAGGCAGCAAAGTAATCTGTCTGAGGAAATGTTACTTCCTTGGCATTTTCTAAATCATATGACAAATTCCCTGGGGCCAGTTCTACTATAAGTATGAGATAGCTCTTATAAGGTCAAAATAATTCTAATTTCTATGAATTAAACTTTACTTGTGAGATGTCTAGGATTTAAAACTCTTATTTTATTTTGGTCTCCCACCCAGTTCAATATTTTTAATATACCACCCATTGCCTAAGAACTTGAAGAGCTTTGTAAATGAATAAGAAATGACTACATATTAACCAACCACAGCCCCCCCTTTTTTTTCTTTTGGGTACCTTTCTTTTTTCTATAGCAAACGCACAATTCAATTTTATTCAGAGCAAAGAAAAAAGATACTTTTGATCAGACTGGAAGAGACTCAGCCATAGCTTTGGAATCTGTACCCAAACTACACATGCAATGAGGATAATATTCTGCAAATACAATTGATTTGCTGCTGCATTTGTCTAGTGTTTGTCTAATATTAACAATTATAAACAGAGCAGGGCAACTAGTATTTGCAACAATCCTTACCGTGTTGTAGTGTCAGGCACAACTTTCCACTTCCCTTCACACCACTGGTTCTCTTTGCGTACCTGGGCTTCCTCTTCTTCAGCGAAGTCATTTTTGATATTGAAGGGCTTGCGAATCTCTCTAGGGTTTGCCTCTTGATCAGATTGGCAATAGTCTTGCATATAACATCAGGCAAACCTTTGATGTCTAAATAGTTTGCAGTCAGAATAAATTCAAAAAGTGTTCCTTGATCAACTTTGAGGAATTCTTGGTCCCAAACTGGGATATCATCTGTTCACTTTTCTTTGTTCTCATCACCCTCAGGAGGAGGAGGGTCATCCTTGTGGTGGGTGACCTCTGAATGACCTTTTATAAGTATTGCTGCATCACCATTGCGTGGAGAAACTGGGTCATCATCGCCTTCATCATCCATTCCCAACTCTTCTAACATGGTCTCGATAGTCACAGATGATTTGGCAATGTCAACATCAACTTCAAATAGCGCTCCATCAGAACGCTGCAACTTAATTGAAGGCATGGTGCTTGGGCTCAAGGAGAGAGCAGGCCGGAGGCTGATGAGAGCAGGGCAGTGTCAGCAGAATCAAAAGAAAAAGGTGGAGAACAAAGTCACTTACAGCCTCTTTGGGGAACCTTTTTAAGCTTTGCTGATTTGTTTTGTCACAAATGTGGTTCATCCATCATGGCCTCATTTGGCATGAAAATGTAATACTTAACTAAAGTCTTTGTGATCAGCAAAATTTGCTATAATTATCTAATTGAATCTGTTTGGGTGCAAAATAATTTAATTATGAATCATATTACATTTTTAACTAGTTACCTTGTAACATGTGTTAAGTCCTAGAGTTGCTAATTGACTTGCCCTTAAATCCTCTAATAATTGTTTGTGTTATCCTTCACTGGTGTGTTATGGAGCACATTGCAGTAGATAGAGAAGCTGGATAGTGTGGAAACATTGATGTGGGATCATTGGAAT